ACACTTAAATGAACCTGGATGGACTCGAGGCTCGTTCGCAAATAGGTTCCTGTTATTAGTTCAAATTTGATTTAGTCGCGTGAATATCTGTTTTTGATAAATCAAATCGATGCAAGGATTCGATTTACCTCATTGACGATGATAGATATACATATCGTATAAAAGGTAGGTTATATATGCGAATAAGGCGAGTAACTCGTAGAAGAAATTGAAGCGAGTAATAATAGAGAAAAAAAGATAAAAGATAAGAGTTTTATATAGATATATATGCGATAAGGAGCTGAAATATTGTTGTTAAGATACATACGGTATGATCGTCATACCGAGATCACTTTCTCCCGATTTCATTCAGCGAAAAAAGTAACGTGTTACTGCTGCAACAAGCTGGTTCACATTATTTCCTTTTTTTTTTTTTTTNTTTTTTTTTTTTTAAGGTAATCACTGGATCACGAGCAACAAAATTGCGTGATTAATATTTTTGAAGATCGAGATCTTCTTTATCGATAGTGTTCGAATTTGATTCAATCTCTATTCTCTGAAATTTCACAGAGTATCTCGTGTCGATCTCTTTACCAATGCGTCCCTATAAATATATCGAATTTTCAGAAATATATTGGAGATAAATGTTTCTACTTTCTTTTATTTTATTCTTTTTTTTTTCGTTTACTTTTATTATTTATCATTTTATATATAAAAGGAAAAATATTTTTTTACTAAACTTGGGATAATATAATTAGTATATTAATTATACTTTCATTATACTTGTTCTAATTCCTTCATAAATTGCCAATATATAATTTAATTACAATTTAATATTGTACATGTACATTTTAGATTTTTAAAAATAATTTTCCTAATTTTTAAAATTCAAAATACTTAAAATTTTTCATTTTTCTTCCATTGTATCTTACAAATATAAATATAAATATATCACAATACAGAATTTCTATCAATTTTTGTCTTTCCATCGCATAAATTCGCATAAATCCTTTGACTCAGCTAATAAAGAGATTATTTGTGTCTCAAATAAAATGAAAGGCTAATCCACATTAAAATATTCGCACAAATTCAATTTTCTCAATTCGATATACTTCTAGGGGCTGACAAAAATGAAAGCATAATACCCCACACATTATTTACCAACCTTGTTAACGATGGCCTAGTATACTCGAAAGCCAAACATATAACCGCCAAACGAAAATAGATATTTAGAAAGCCTTTACGGTCAAAAGACAGCGTATATATATATATAGAGAAGAGAAAAGAAAAAAAATAAGGAAAAAAAAATGTTGAAACAGCTGCATAAGCAGAGAAATTTTTTCTTTTTTTTTTTTTTTTTTTACTTTCCGACCACTTTACCTCGAGAGAGAGAGAGAGCTCGAAGCGCAAGATGCCACTGCGATCCGCGCTACAAACCTTTCATTTTCGTACGATAGAGTGAGGCGTGTTAGGTTGCACGAGATATAGAAGGTTGCCGTCGTCGTCCGGGACCGTGTCACGAACGTTTCCTCTATTATTCTCAAAGTGTCATATATCCCTCGTGATCTCGCTATTCTTTGCCTCCAATTTCGGTTCGCGAATTATTATTATTCAGCCGGGTATGTGAAAGGACGTGAAATCAATAAGCGGAGAGAAGAATGAACGCGAATCCTTTTCCACGAGAACGATCTTGCATTTCGTTATTCCATTCCTTGTCTCTTCACGTTGATTCTTTTTTTTTTTTCTTTCTTTATATTATATATATCTTTTGACACGCGAAGACGAGGGTGATATATGATTGTATGGAAATATCGGGACCAGATCCCGACTACGACCACCATATAGAGGTATAGGCATAAGGCACAGGTAGCCAGTAACGCTATATAGAAAATTTTCGAGCTCTTATTATTATTTCTCGTTCCTTTTTATTTTTCTATCCATTCGTTTATTGCGAATTATTTTTTTTTTTTATTCTTATGTAGTTTTATTTCTAATTACATTTTTCTCGTCGTAATAAATATACGATGGTCCAAAATGGCGTAGAGTTGGACCGTAGAGTTGAAAACTGCTTTGTTTTTTTTTTTTTTTTTCTATTTAATTAATATATACCCTTTTCTCATGGCATATATAAAATTGTTTATATATGCGACTCGTGGTATGGGGGCTCAATTTTAAATAGGTTACGATTCAATTGATATAAAAAAGAGATAGACAGAGAGATAGAGAGAAGAGAGAGAGAGAGAGAAAGTGTGAAGCTGCTCTGTGATTTCAGTTGAAATTCTTTTTTTACTTCCTTTCCTCGATGAGATGGGGAGGAATCGACTCCATATAATCGATATGCGCGAGCAGAAATAACGATTAAAATATTCCAGATTACTGTATTGCCATCAGTTTAATTACAAAAATTGAAATAAATTTATTTAAATTTCATCTAAATATCGAAATCTCGTTTTAAAATTTAATTAAAAATAATTTAACTTTTGAAACCTTAAACGGAGTGACTCTTTTAAAATTATATTTCTTCTTTAAATTGAATTATTTAATGGAAATATTTTTTATTGATACAAATTATTTAAAAAAATTATATAAAATTGTAAAAGTATTTAAGAAAATTGTTGAATATCAAGCTTGATATAATTGTATATATTATCTTAGATATTAAATCTTGGAAAAATTTATAGGATATTCTAAAGAGACTATTTAGATCTTTATATAAATTTCTAGAATTTAAGAGCTTAAGAGTAAAAAATTAATGCTCAATGTTAATATTATGCACTTATTTTACATTCTCAATATTTCTCAATTACTTTTATATTATCATTCATATTATAAAAAATCTTTTCGAATAAAAAAATATAAATATCGTTCAATTGATTTGTATATTGATTTCGAGTCGATCCCTCGTTTCATCGAGAAAACATGGTTATCGTGATTGGCGTAAGGTTTGTCGAAAGTCCTATAGATCTTGAAAAAAAAGGAAAAAAAAAAGAAGAAGAAAGAAAACAGTCCTCCTACTTGTTTCGATAATTTACAGTGTCTACTAATATGTTGTTAACTCTCGTATTCTAATAAGATTTGTAGACAAACGTTACGCTAACATACCCGCGTTTAAACGGCGATGCTCAGACATTTTCCAACGATTTATCAGTAATAACGAATCATGAGACACGCGAATTTTTAATGTTCCCGTATATTCCTTCGTCTCCGCCGAAAATTAACGATCTTGCACGATCGATAATGTCACACACGCTCAGCTACTCGCACGCACACTCGCGGCCACTCACACTTCTCCCAGACACTGCGCATCGTCGTTCAAACGAAGCAATCGATTCACGACTAGTGGCATTGTTCTCCGATGATTACTTAAAAAACTAAAAGAATCCATCCGATTCGTTCATCTCACCGCATCTTAATGTTTAACGCGAATTTCTCTGGTGAAAGATAATCGAGGAAATGGAAGTTGAGGAATATTGGTGAATATTTAAATCGAGTTCATGATTAGAATAATTATCATATATCGCACGATAGAAGATAGTATTAGAATGCATTGGGTAAGTTTGTCGGTGTACGGCGTGGTAATAGTCACAAATGACTATTATCGGTAGAGTCAAACTTAACTAATTAGCGTTAATGGCTGTCTGTTAGATCAATTAGGTCAAGAATTACATGTACGTCGGATAACAAAGTTTAAAAGAGATTTTATATAAAATATACCATAATTTTCTCATATTGTACTTTTATAAAAATCTATTCAATTAAGATTGTAATATGTATTTATTATTTTCTTTATCATTATGTATTAATGTGTCAAATAATTTATGATATTCAATTATGATTCAAATATCAATTATGATATTCATTTGTGACATTTTGTCTCGTCTCTAATAAATATTAGTAAATATTCTACTTTCACATATCATGAACTGATAATAAATTATGTAAAATCTGATCATTATTAATCTCTTATTAATTTGTTTCCGATTTTTATTTTATACAAATTTAACAAGATTAATTATCTTATTTTTGTAATCTTTTTCTTAATAATTCAAATGATTCTTTTAGATATTTATCAAAGAAAAAAGTATACACATTATTATTCCAATACAATAGCATAATAAATATGCTAATTATATCAAATATTTTTATGAAATCAATTCTTTATAAGTTAAATTTTACTTAATCGTTATAAGAAGTAAAATGTTTTTCAAACTCGTAATTTTTGTTGTTAAAATAGGACTTAACGAATAGATTAAAAAAAAAAGTATACTAAAGAGAAATTCGCATTACGTGTAAAATGAAACGAAAATCTCGTCGCTGAATTTATTTCGCAGTAGTACGATAAATCTATCCGACCAGAGAACATTGCACATTGTCGAAATATTCACCGTTTTGTTTTGTGTTTCAAGGATAATAAATGTGTAAATTTTTTCAAAATCTGATCTGCCGATTCATGGCGAGATCAGGATTGCTACTCTAACGAGACGAATTCTACGAAACACTCAAATCATTAATCAAGTTCATCGCGTTACCACTAAAATTTATTAGTTGGATCACAATGGACCAAAGTAAATCATTAATAGTCATCATAGCATTCAAAAACTATTACAAAATACAATCAAAATATTACAATATAGTTGCTATGAGATTATACCATCGATACTTTGAACACTTTTAAGAATAATCTCACGATGAGATAAAGTAGAATGCTTTGTACAATAAGTGAAAAACGACAACCACGTGTTCCGCAGAGTTCGTATTGCGAATATTTATCCCATGAAAAACCAAATTGTTTTAAATTTGTTTCTTTAAATTTCAATAAAAATACAGAGGTGAATATATGTATCTATATATCTATATAAAATAGTAATGATCTGAGAACAAATTGTGCTTATTATTACTCAGACAATTGGATTTTTCACGCGAGAATTTTCTACACTGAACTATAGATAGTCGTTTATTTTCATATAACATGTTAAACGTAATGTTTTGACTGTATTAAGAGAATTTTAAAGAAGGCTTACCAAACCGACGAGTAGAAAAAATACTAGGAATGTGCGGCCGAGGACCGTCTGGCAGTAAACGTCGCCATATCCTACCGTGGACATCGTCACGATGAGAAAGTAGACGCAGGTCCAGTACGAAAGCTGTTGAGGGTTCGTGAACTCGAACGGGTCCCCTGAGTTTTCAAGCTATAATCACATAATATTAACATTTATAATTTAATATCGAGAATAACATACACAGCCATAAAATATATATCTATATTTGTATATTATTATTTTTACATTATTTTTAGTCCTAAAAATTACTTTTGTTTCTTTATCACAGATCTCCTCCAGCGATGAAAATTATATTCATTACATATTAATTATGTGCGATGTTAATGTAGATGATACATGTAGAAAGTGAATTCTACGGACAGAGATAAAAGTTGCTGTACAAAAATATCGGTTGAGGTTTATTTATTAAGTTATAAGTTAAATTAAGTTTGCAGAGAATGAATGTATAGTTGTCTTTTAGATGGCTTATAATTTAATAAATAAAATTCAAGATAATATTTTTGTATTTATTTTGGTCTTTGAAATCGATTCTCTAAAGATATCTCGTGAATAAACAAAATCTAAAAATATGCATAAAAATATTTAAAAATTTTGAAGAGAAAAATTTAAAACTTCAAAACTTTTACAACGCCTCAAAAACTCATGCACGTGTAATCTTTAAAATTAAAAGCAGATTTCTTTCTACTATTAAAAGATGGATGTATAAATTTAATTTTTTGATTTATATTAATTTGTTTTAATATATTTATATTTTAACTACTTAAAATTAACTATTTCTAGCAATTTTTAGATAGCAATATCTTCTTTTAATATCTCACAACATCAAAATCTCATATAATATCATACAATACTAAGAAATTGAAAGAAACAAAGGAGATTTAAGAATCTAATTCTTATAAAATACATTTCTGTATTAAATGTTTCTGAAAAATGTTCTAAATGAAGTATATGTTTAGGATGAATAAGTTAGATGTTTACATGTAAGTAAAAAGTGTTAAAAACATCTTGACGAAGTTTTGAGAATAAACAAATATTGTTTGCATCGAGGTGTTAAGATTAGAGTGTAAGCAAATGCGTGATATATGACGAGCCAGAAAGTCGAGTGGGTGTGACAGAGAGATTTTTAGAAATATCAGTGTAAGATTAGTCTCACGATGAGTGGGAAGCGAATAAATGTGGTAAAAAAATAAAATAAGACGGTAAAGTAGAATTGAAAAAATACTTATAAAACTCGGAGAAAATATGACTGTGTTAATTTAAATAAAAATAAAATAAACATAAAACAAAATATAAAAAGTAATAATAACTATATTGTAATTTGATGAATGAAATTACATTTTCTTAACTCTTACAATCTTAAGTTCATTTTACAATTGACAATTTTCTACTTTCTTAACTTCTTTTTCCTTTACATTAAATTATTCAAATATCCTTTCAATGCATATTGGAAAATATTTTTACCACAATTATTCGATATATTATTAATCCATTATGTAGCTTTAAATACTTTGTACATTTAGAATTCTAATCACCCGTCTTTCTACTTTTATTATTGTTAAAATTTAACTTATCAATTAATTAACTCATCAATTGTTAAAAACAAAAAATTAAAGACAATTTTTCAGTTCATTTTTCATTTCATATTATCTACCAACTAATTATCCACAATCTGTTATATCCATAACAGCCGCATAGTGAGAAGAAGAAAACCAAATGATAAGAATACCAAAAAATATCTTACCAAATGAATGATGCCAGCAGCTGTTAACCAGACGGAGATGAAGATCGATACAAGTTGGGCGAGACGAATGGAACTCGATGTCTTTAGAATGTTTAGGTACTGGAGAATGTCAGGGACCGTCATCAGTCGTAGGGCTCGAAGGAACCTCAGTCCGATCCACGTCCGATCGAGATATATCGACACGAAGGACGGTGGTATCGTAAAGTAGTCCACGAACGAATACATCTCCAGCATGAACCACAGCTTATCACTGGCGGCGATAAACTGTCACAGAACAAATTTTTAATCACGTACGTGTTAATGATAATAATTTATTATTATTTCATCATCCTATTTATGCTCTGATGTGTGAACGTACGAAATACAATTATTATTACCATGAAATCGAATTAATTTCTACATGATATGAATCGCAATTAAAGGAGAAAATAATTTTATATGAATAGATGATTCTGTTAGATTTTACAAATTCTTTAGCTTTATTTAAATATTGAAAATTTATTAATTAGCGAGCAAAATAATTGATTTCTTATTTTGTTCTAAATTTTTTAACGATTATAATATATTTTCAAACCATGTTGCACTAAATGAAGTACTGACAGCCAAAAATTTAATATTTGGAGAATAGATTGATTAAAAATAAACTTTATAAAATCTTGATATTTTTTATTTTCTTAACTATTGAATCATTATTTTTTTCCTAAATCATCTTGCTCTATTTTCTCAAATTAATTATTATTCTAATCTTTCATCAGTTTTATTTTTTTTTTTATTGACTATCAATAGTTTAGATCGTTTAAGTTTATCTAAAATTTGTTGATACTAAAAAAAAAAATATACAAAAAGCAAGTTGAAATACAAAAATGCATTCGATAATAAAATTTAATTTAATAAATACATAAAAGGAAAGTTAACGTGTTGAGCATAATTAAAAAAATATATATATTTTCTTAAATATTTTTTTCAATGCAAATATAAATTGTGAATCATGAAAAATGTAGAAATGTAGAAAAGAGATCCAAGGTGTACTTCTCAAGAAAATCGTCTAATAATTTGTATTCGTAAATGTTACATCATTCCTTTATAAATTCATCAGGTAATTCCTCGTAGAACTTTGAGAGAATAACAAAGCACGTGCCTTAAGAGACTCAGATTGTTAACGAAGGGTTAATCTTTTCCCAAGTCTTAAAAACCCACGACATTTCCCAACAAGCAGAATTTTATTGTTCGACTTCAACTTGTTGTACTATTCAACGTGTTACTTTAAAATAAAGGCCTCTTATAGCACTACAGCTTCTTGAATGCATTACAATGATTGTTTTAACAGCGCACAGTCGGGCATTGTCATGCGATGAAAATTATAGTCTTAACTGTTTTAAAGTTAGAACAAGGATTTCTTTCTTTTAATTTTCTATCCACATGTTGTGTAATAAAATATATCAACGTTTACTTGTTGCAATATACATAATAAATTAACTTTTAAGAATTATATGACAAAATTGATTTAGTCTATCATTATTTACAAGCTGTTGGTAGACCTAATATATTGTTATATAAATTTAAATGAATACAATAAAATAACGATACAATATAATGATAATCTGATTATGTTGTAACTTAAAAATTTTGATTTGATATAAATGCTTTGATTAAATAAATAATTTATAATAATAATACTTCTTACATTTTATTTCATAATATTTGAAAATGAGAATTTAACAGGTAAGAAGTGGCTGTCCACCATTCAACTGTTAATATTCATGAATCTATAAATTTGAAAAGCATTATAATGCGATGAAAAGTTTACACTTACGCGTATAAAAAAGTAGACCATAAAAAATATATTGAAAGCTAAGTCTATCTGCTGAGTAATGTTGTTGCTCCACTCTTGGCAACGTTCCACCTCTTCGCTGTAACATAAAATTGTCATTTGATGTTAATAAATTACGTTAGATCTCACTTATGATAAGTTTGCTTGACTTTTATAAGAAAATAAATAAACAATAATAATGTAATCATAATCGTTACACAGTTATTTACATGATTCATTAATAATATATTTTGTTATATATATATATATGTGAAAAATATATTTTAATATTTCAAATCTAAATCCAAATAACTTGTGATTATCATACGTTATTTAAATGATTATAACAATTTTTTTTTATCATACACAAATCTACTATAGAATTTTTGCGATTATTTTATGCGATTTAAAAAATATTTTACAAACAAATGTAATGTTTCGAGTACAATTAATTAATTTTCTTACCTAGAGGCATCGATGAAGTATATTATAAGCGATGCTATACTGAGAATGAAAACTAACACCACCTGAAACACATAATATTATTCAAAGTTTAGTTAAGTTAAATTAAATAAATATCATGAAAGCATATATGCATCATGATTAAAATTAAGCGAAATTATTTTTAATTATGTAAATTATCTTTTCTTTTTTTACATCAAAATTATTGTGTAACATATTTTTCATATAACTTCACTAATATCTTCTTTGTGTCTCCTTAGAGGTTTCTTTGAGAACCGTTATTACCATAATTATAAATGAAATTATCTATTAAATATTTATAATACAAAATTTTAAAGATTCACATAAATTTTTGAAACTAATATTTTATCTAATATTCATAATTAATTACGTATCCTACGATTTGTTTACACAATAATTAATGATAATTTAATGAAAAACAATAACTTTTAATTTTAAATGCTGATTTAACATAATGAAAAGCTCCAACGATCGAATTTATTCTCCTATACGATGGTCGATGAGCGCCAACGAATAAATATATGTTATACTTCAACCACTTTGTTAGCACTTTTTGAAATACACGATCTTAGCATATTCGTTCCAAGTGGCTTTACATGCGAGGATGAAAGATTTACTAAGCTGGTAAATCTCAAAACGAGTTTTTGAACATGACTGTACGTAAGTTATATTTTTTCTCAAAAGTCTTGGAATATCATTATATATATATATATTAGAAAAACTAGAAAAAATTAAGTAACCATTAATATTTTCAAATCTATATAAATCGTGACATCCATTTGCATAAATTTGTAATAAAATAAAAATTTTTAAATTAATCGATGTAAATAGGAATTTTTATGGAAAAGTATATATTTTTCATGTAATGTATGTTTTGCATTTTGTATTTTTTTATAAATAAGAGAAATAAACATATTAGATATTTTTTGATATCAATTTCATTTCTGTGATAATCGAATATTATAAATAAATTTAATACATAAAATTGAATAAAACTTCTGATTACGATATAATATTGAATTTTAAATTATTTTGATTATATATGATAAACAATTTATCAAAAAATTATGATAAAATTTTTACACAATATTACAGATTTATATAGTTAAATCTACGTAATGTAATTATGGATATTTTAAAAATATTACAGTTTAAAATATATTTTAAATAACATCATATATTTTTTTACATATCATTGAATATTTGTTAAATATTTGATCTTATTTTAATTGCAATCTAAAAATTCGCAATCTAACAGTCATTTTTATTTGCAATTTCTTTGTGTAAGAAAATTTCTTAATGAAATTTTTCAATACTTAATTACTTCAATATAGCTACATGGGAATGTAATAAATTGAAATGATGCATAGCTTGTCGTAACGATGGACAGTGAAGAAAGATTTATCGTGAATACATATATGATATCTCAGGACAGATGGTACACGCGATTAAAAGATGATTTTATATATAAAAATGAAAAAAAAAAAAAAAGAACAGTAAAATTTTATCATTTAAAACTTCATATTCGAGTAAATCGAGATTTTGATGAGTTTTCAAGTAAATTTAACTAATTTTCAATTGAATACGAATAATAAAAGATTATTGTATATATGAAACTAAGAAAAAAGTGAATGGAATAAAGTTTTGTTGTTTAAATCTTTGTTTTAAAGAAAATAAAGATTGAAAATATATAGTTAAGAAGTAATTTTGAAGTAATCAAAAAGTAAAGGAAACGATTAAGAAGTATTTTCGAATTCAATTTTCTTGAAAATTAGTTTTTAAGTAAAAAAATTTTATTTTATATTCTTCCTATATACTTATTCATATCTTATAGAGAATCAAAATTGTATTTAATGAATTTTTAAATTCAATCTCAACTCGAAAATAAAGTTTCAAATGTTATATATTTAAAAATGTTATTCTTTTTTCTTCGACTTATTTATTTTCTATTAACATTCTATTATATTTGCTACGAGAACTAAGTTTTTTTTAATATCTCTTTTAATAATCATCACTAATATTTCATTTCGTTAGACATCTTATGCGTATATAAGAAATTCAGCTCTAAAAATAAAATATTATGCTATTGATTATGCTATTTTTATATAATTAAAAGAAAAGGAAAAGAAAAATTACCTGGCTCTAATACTAATACTTTACACAAAATGAAATTTGCTAATATATATAATTTTATTTATGCAATTAAAATTAATGATTAATGATTATTTACCAAATATTTTATAAAATTTTATTTTATCATTAATAATATATTAATAAACACTTTTGAATTGTAATGTATAATTATTTTATCTTACATTATCAATAAATAATTGCCACTTTAATCTAATTTAATGGAAAAATTTAATTTTACATCAAAGAAACTCTAACAAATGAGTGTATATGTCTAAACGAGTGTAAAAAAAGATTCCTTTCTATTATTTCATTATTTTCTTTCGCCCGGTTTACTCGTATGGAAATATTGGATGGCGAAGTCATCGATGCGCCAAGCATTCACATACACACACGCATAATGTGCAAATACACACGTACAATTTCTCTGCTACGAGACTTCAGATTGAAGCATATAGTGCAAGTAGCGTGAATAAATAAAGAAGCACGGCTTATGTACTTTAACCGACGATCGATTTTGCTTGGCTCCGTTCCAGACAGCAGCTCGTCAAATACCAAAGAATTTCGCCACATGACTCTTAATTGTCAATGATATATTATCGAAATGGATTTGATAGATCTTAACCTTTAAATCGACTTTTCATCAAATATCTGATTTATCGATCCAAGAATTGATCATAGAATTAAAATTTTTTCTCGTAACTTTTACATCTGTTAAATAATTATCGTTTGAATATAATGCAACAGATAGCATGGATGTAATTGTTAGAATTTTCTTCGAGATTTTCACGCTTGAAAAAATCGTACAAACGAATATGATCATTAATCACAATGAAAGATCTTATCGATTTTAATTTCAATAGAATATTATGTATATTTAATTTCTATTTACTTATTTGGAGGATTATGAGGAATATGCGAAAAATTTAATATTTTAAATTTTTCTTATTAAATTCCTTATTACTATGTATATGTATATTTAAATGTCATAAAAATATTTTGTTATTGTAATATTTTTTTCAATAAAACGACTAAATTATTATATTGCTTAAAAAAAATTACATATATATTTCTTAAAATAATCTAACAATGTTTTAAACAATGTTTTCATAAATATTTATATTCTTTTTAACTTGTTGATTCATCTAATATTTTTTATTAGTATTAATAATAGATTGGATTTGAATTGAGAGAGTGGAAAAGAGTGAAGAGAGAAAATTAATATTATATAGAAGATGCTAATATATTCGTAGAACACTTTTAGAGAGTCATTTCTAGAAGCCAATATGAATATATTAACACTGCATATATAATTAAAATAATTTTGAAAAGTTTTTTCGAAACAAATTCGAATCTATATATAAGATAAATTTTCTTTTTTACGACTAATTGTAGAAAAAAAATTATCAATTATATTGAAACGAATTTTAATTAAAAAAAACTTATTTAAAAAAAACTTGAATAACAAAACCATATGAAAAAGTACAAACAAGCATAAATCAAGTAATAAATCAAATAGATTTTCTACACAATAATGTATTATATATTTAATAAAAATACCATTCAGCAAAATTTAATCTCAAGCGAACAATCCATAGAAGAATATCTACTTAAACTTGTTAAATTTCAAATAATTAAAATATGGAAAATTATTAATTCGAGGAACATATAATTAAATATCAATTTGTTTAAATACGCAATATAAAGAAACTTACACAAAAATTCGAAATTATTAATTCAAGAAACACGTAATTAAATATTATCCGTTAAAATATACAATATTACGGAAATTTAAACAAAACATTTGAAAAAAATTTGAATTGATATTACCATAAATCCCATAAAACCGCAAATTAAATTTTTTCAGTGGCACATTTACCTGTCTCGTTTAAATTTGCACGAGAGGGTTGTATACATGCGCATATGTACAACGTGTGCACATTTAGGATTGTAGAAGTGTAGAAGAGCGTGTAAGGTCATTCTGTCGATGCACCATCTGAGTGTATGCAGCTGCGCTACGGAAATCTAGGTCACCCAAATATGAAGACCATGCATGAACGTTTCTCATATTTGTTTTTCAATATCGAAAGGGGATGGAAGAGACATATGCTAAGAACACGACGATTTTTACAAACTTATGGATATATATAATTTATAAACTTGTGTGTATAATAGATAGGTAAGGAGAATAAAGAAAACCATTCGTATAATAATGATAGGAAATAATTGATGGTGGAAAATGTGTACAGTAGATTGCAATTTATGGAGACAAATTGTAACAGCATATATTTATAATAATAATGAATGCATAAAGAAATATTTATTTTTTAATTATATTGATTCGTATAACATGTAAATTTTTTTATTTCTTTATAAGATAGTACAAAATTAAAATGCATTATACATATATGTATTTGCATATATATCCAAAATATTAAAAATTGTCACTATCTTATAGATATAAGTTGAGGATTTTTCCTATTTTCTCATATTCTCAAGCATACTATTCATTAAATATATTATCTGTAATATAAAAAAAAATTCAAGGATATAGAAACAAATTATAATATATTTATAACAATTAATATTTACAGTAATATAGGTATAAAAATTGTTTTACTTTTAATTCAATTAATTATTTATGAACTATTTCATTTATATTTTTTTATATAATACAAATTTAAATATATAACATATAATATTTATTTCTTTTCTAAAATAAAAACATTTTCACTTTTTTTATTATAAATGTAAATTTATTTTTCCTATTTATATCCTTATCACTATTGACATTAAAGCAATAATTATAATACTTTCTGATATTTTATGTGAATAAAAAATATTTCGATCTTCTGTTTTTTTCTTTAATTCAATTTATATCAGTTTCGTATTTAATTTGATACTATAATATTTT